GTGAAGAACATTTTTTTTAAAAAAAGCTGTGGATTCTCATTTTACTCTTGATTTGTTATTTCAATTACTGATTAATTTGTTATTTTGGGCAACTCTTCTCCTGCATTTAGTGGCCTTAAAAATGCCTATGTGTTTTGTGCATATTAAAAAAGTGTAAGAACCACCATTTTAACAATAAGCATTCAACTGAAGGTGATTTTGTTTTCTGTGTTGCCCAACCCAGCATGCAATTTCCCCTACATTTTTCTTGGAAATGCTCAGAATTCTTCCTTCTATACATTCTTAAAGTGCTTTTTCAAAGAACCTAATTCAGTAACAGCTCCCTTGCCTTCTCTATTAACAGCCTATTCCTGTGAAAACACAGGGCGTACTTAAAAGAGAAAGAGAGAGAACTTTGAGGCTGAGGATTGAGATCTGGAGAAGTAAATGTGAGTGAGGTTATGGGGTCAACAGTTGGGCTCTTGCCAAGAGGTACAGGGATGATTCATCCAGAAGTAGTTGGAATAAGCATCTCATTTCCCTGTATCATTCTCTCCCAGTGGTTCCATAGCCATTCACAACCCATTTCTTAGAGACACGCCTCTGATTTTGCTACTGATGCATTGTGTATTCCTGAAGACCAGGTATCATGTGTTAAATAATATTTCAGTGGAATTAAGCTTTTTCCTTCCTACTGGAGCTTCTTGTGATAGTAAAAGTGCATTGTAGGTAGCAAGTTTCATAGCTAGAAATATTACCAGAATGATTATAACAAACTAAAATAGAAATTCAATCTCTCTCTCTCCCCCTCTCTCCTCCCCTCCCTCCTTCTCCAAACGTTTGTCACTTGGTTGATAAAGAAGCTGCCACGTACCAGCTGCTTCCTTGTGTAACCAAAGTTGAACCAGTAAATGGATTAAAATTTTCAGTATGTACTTATGGCACAGTTATGAAATGTTTTGAATCTAGGATTGAATATATATGTAGTAGGGTGTTTTTTTAAAAAAAAAAATTATTTATTCTAGGCCTGGGATCCTTAATCTGACATTGCAGGTATCAGTGAATATCTCCCTTGGGAATTGTCAAATTCCCTGCTCCACCGAAGTTTATGCATTTTTAAGCAACATTTTAATCTGAGGAAAATAGAGAGCTCTCATTTTGCAAAGCAAAGCATCTGCTTCAAGCGTCATCTTTATTTGCGAGAGTGTCCCTGGGTGCTATATAATCTTTCTTAGAGAATATAAATGATGGGTGGTTGCAGCTAAAGTTTGTTTAGAAGTTAGCCACCAGTTATGAAAAGAAGATAAAAACGGGAAGCAGAGGTATCGTTAATGTCCACAGAGGGAAGCTAGAGGAGGTAGTGTGTTTTTGAGACTAATACTATTCCTCCGGATGCCATTTTGTGAATAGGCAAACCCTTCCCCATGGCAGACATTTTGTGAGAGCACTCATGACATGCCTTCAGATTTCCAGATGTGCTCAGCTAAGGCCCAAAAGATGGAGACCATTGTCTAGGTTTTATAAATATTCCTGTAACTTGTAACATTTCTAACTCGAGAAAACAGATCCAAGTGCAGAATTAAGCTTCTCATCTCAAGTATACAAAGGAAATGGGAATGTTTGAGAAGCCTGTATGTTCCTCTGTATAATCTCCTCATCACTGGAAGAGAATGGAGTGTATAGAAGGGATTAAGGACCTCAGTGTTACAAAATGAAAGTCAGTTAAGCTTGTCTAGAAGCTGTTGTCTTGTCGCAATCCTCAGAAATGACAACTATTACTCTTAGAGCAGCAGACCAATCCTGTCCTGTGTCAACTGTGCTTCTCTATTGATAGATTCTGTTGTGAATGACAGGTGTGCAGTTATAATCTGAAAATGTAACATAGTCAAGGGAAGCACATCTTTAGCAATCTGGTTTTGGTTTACATGTTTCCCACTTGAGAGGTCTTCAGCAGGTTGTTTAAAGTTGTAGTCTAACAAATGAACACATGCTTGTTGTGATATTTGTATTTTCAGAGGAAATAATTTTCTAGATCTGATTCTGCTCGAATTGAATGATTAAAAATGTTAATTTCTGCTTCTATAGAAATAAAATTCCATAGAAGTATGGTAGTAGATAGAAGTATTCTATATACAATAAGATGACAATGACAGGTAGTAAAACAAGCTGTATCAAGAAGTACAGCAGTATAAACCGTTCTTAAGAACGAGAGGATACATGTATGATTGGTCTAATATGTTTTGATCAAATCAGATAAATATACAAATTAGAGTATCTGGAGGAGTACTCCCTCTGTCTATACCAGTGTTTCCCAACTTTGGCAACTTTAAGATATGTGGACTTCAAGTGCCAGAGATTGAGAAGCACTGGTCTAGATGTTCAGTGAACATAAAGAGGAATGGGATTCCACTCTCTGGTCTTGTTCACAATGATGTGATTCCTTGGCAATCATGCTCTTAGCCTAGCAGTTTGTTCCTTCTAATATCTGATATATGGGAGAGACAGATGTAATCAACAGCCAATCTCATATCCTTTTCTGTAAAAATCACATAGATATCCCATAATGAAGAGGCATAAACTGGAGCCTACTTTAAAAATAAGTTTTGAAATGTAAATACTGATGTATTACGTATTCATACAGTTTTCAAACTTAAAATTTCACTATTTGGACTCTTCAATGTTGATTTTTTTTCAGGAATGGGGTGCCTTAGAAAGGTAAAAATAAGTCCAGATATCTCTGGATTTTGTGCATTTCATGTTCAAATTTCTTGATCCAGTACTTAAGTATAAACTCTAGATATGCTTAGGCAAAAGGTGCCATAGGCTGTGCCTCTTGGCTGTTGGACAGGATCCTAGTAACCATATGCAGTTCCATATTTTCTGTTGCAGCCGCTACAAGTAAGACGAATAAAAACAGATAAAGGGAGATTAAACCCATTTTGTTCATCAACTCCATATGATTCTGTATATCAGCCCTAAAAGCAATGCATTCTCTGTCTGCCTCACCTTACATATATATTCATCTTACACTTGTTTGTGTCCCTCTGCTTAATTTATATGGTTTCTTACTTGGATAAAAATCTGCAGTGGGAGTGAACAGTAAGTCAATTGTGAGGCACTTTTTATAGCTCCCCGTTTCACATGCAGATGATGGTAGTTTTTATCTCATACCTTTGCTGTCTGATATACCCAACTTCTATAGACATACTTAGCTTATCCCTGCTGTAAAACTTCACACTGCGCTTTCTTTTAGAGGTTTGCCCTTGAAAGGTTTGGCACCAAGTGTGGGATTCAGGAAGTTTTTGATTAAGCGAATAAGTTGTATATCTGTTTTAATTAACTTGAGCACTGCTACGTCATGCACCTCTTTCAAAACAGGTGGGGGACTTGATTGGTTATCAGCAGATGAAATGCTGTTCATAGTTTGCCTCCTCTGCTGAAGGATTATGTAAATGTAATATAGCAGCTTTAACTGTGTAAATACAAACTTTCAGGTTTTTTATCTTTCTGATAAATGACTAAGGTAAAATTTATGACAAACCTCTACCTGAGTTATTGTAATCTATAAAATCTGCATGTCTGGATGAAATTGGTCCCTATGAACCTGCCTTGGAGATGCATGAAATAAAACAGCATTGGAGCTGGGGAATTTGTTTCTTATCCATTTTATATTTTTGATCATGCGAGTGTCTGCTGGGGGAGTCCTTAATATAAACTGCTGGAAAAGGCTATTCATTAAGAAGCCAATTTCTCAGTCTTCAGCGATGTTTTCTTTTACAGTAAGGTAACAGCCATGAAAAGTTTAGATTAGGAGGTGTTTAGCCTCAGTATTAATATTAGAGAGATCCTGCACTCTAAAGATATTAACTCAAACTCGTGCATCTTAGGCAGAAAGGGAAGAGCGCAATGGCCTTTTTTTTTTTTGCTTAAAAAGAGTATATTTATTTTGGAGTTAAATCAATGTTGCAAGAATTATTTTCATTTTAAAACATAAATTTTGTCAGAGCTCTACCTTAAAATAAACTGAATTGCCTGAATAGTGAATAGCCAGTTTTAAAGAATTTGAAATATTTCATGTGTCCAGTTGGTCCAAACCAGAAACACTTATGAGGTTATTGCTGCAGGTTCTAGTTTTAATGAAAGGTAAAGCTTTACTCATTCTTTGTTTTATGTTTCAAAAAGATGAGCTTAAGCCTTGCTAAGGGATAATAAAGTGGTGTAATAAAAGCAGGTCAGATGTATATCCAGTGCCTGGAAGGGCAGCTGCTCTTGGTTCCCAGTCTCTCCATAGACATGATACCTCTACCTCAGCGGAAATTGTTGTCTATAATATAATGAACAGAGACCCCCAAATACCTATAGTAATGAATAGAGTCAGGGACTTCATTGCAAAACACACCTCAAGATGGATATATGATTTTGGAGAGGATTTTTTTTTTTTTTTGCATCACTAAAAATGAGCTTTCAAGGATAATTTCTTCTCCTTTCACTTCATGAATTCTTCTAAGAGTGCTGGCAGTGATATTCTTCAGTCTTTCCCATGCCCATCAATATTTCCTTTTTAATTTGCAGGATGTTTTCATATTTCTGCTGTTTCTTTTCATTGCTAAAAAATAAAGTAAGGGAAGGAAAGTTTTTGATTCTTGTAGCAGGGCTTTCCCTGGGCATCAGACGGTCCTATTTCATCCATTTCTTTTGACCCAGTATCCCTTCGCTTAGAGCAAGCTTGAGGGGAAAATGTCTCTATAATTCTTAAATATTGGATGAAACTTAATCTTAGTTCTACTTAAGGTAGACCCATTAAAATCAATGGGACTTTGTCATGGTTAACTTAAATCATTTTGGATTTTAACTGGTCTGCAGTAAAGATAACTAAAATTGGGTTTCTCCTATTATTACTTTTGTAGCCTGGATTGTCTTATAATTATTTTTGTTGCTATCAGTTTTTGTGTTTTTTAAGGACATGATAATTCTTTTTATCAGATGAATGACTTACACCTGCTTTTGTTTTATTCTTTTAGGTTCCATCCTGGACAAGGACTAGTACTGTATCCAAAGATTGGAGATAAACTGGATATTATATGCCCAAAGGTGGACTCTAAAACTGGTGGTCAGTATGAGTACTATAAAGTCTATATGGTTGAGAAAGACCAAGCAGAAAGCTGTACTGTTAAAAAGGACAACACTCCTCTGCTCAACTGTGCCAAGCCTGATCAAGATGTTAAGTTTACCATCAAGTTTCAAGAGTTCAGCCCTAACCTCTGGGGTCTAGAATTTCAGAGAAACAAAGATTATTACATCATATGTAAGTGAACAATGACTTTGTTTCCTTTCCTTTTGGGTCTTGCTGTTTCTTAATTTATTCATTGTATTCAATCAAGTAAGAAGCTTAAAGGATTTATATTGTTTTCTTTGAAAGTATTTTCATGGCAGCTTATTATTAACTTCCTCCCTACTGTTTTTAGATCCTGTTTTTTATTTCCAGGTTTTCAGAGAACTGATGTAGGCTGAGCTGGTGATGCTAGCAGTGTAATTGAAGAATACTTGGGTATCTTAATCTAGTTCTAAATAATATAAGGAAGAGGAAAACTCAGTTATGCTAGAAATTAAAGTGCTGTATCTCATAGGTCATCTTTCTGATCTAACACATTTCCCCTAAATCCCATTTGCAATATTAAGACACCAGACTTTTGAGATGTAATGAGATATAATAACATTCAGTCAATGTTCATTCAGTGGTAAATAACAATAATCCCGTTTTATAATAGAATGACATTTTAACCCCTTCAATGTGCAGTGTGTTTGATACATACGCACACACACGAAATAGATCACAAAGTAAGGCAATAGTTTTGAATAGAAAAATTAAAATATCATTGGAGTAAAATTTATTTGTTGGTATTTTCATTAACAGTTTTGTTTTTTACTTACTTGGTTTTAATGGTTAAATATTTAATAAAAATGGAGTATGATTTTTATTATGGTGGAAGATGGTGCCAGGAAAGAGGTGGTGCCAGGAAAGAGGTGGAAGAATAGTTGGGAGAAAGCAGAGATATCACAGGGTGGGCGCTCCAAATTGGAATGAAAAAGAAGAAGCTGGAGGCTTCTGCTTCATAAGAGACCAGCAGGACAATGGATGAAGTTCTTGCTCTGTCAACAGATCAGTGCTGTGTCCCAGCCATAAATGTGTGATACAGTTGCTATATTACAATGCACTGAAAACATCTAGAGATTAAATATCCACTTATTTGGAAATAAATGAAATGATTTTATTAAGTCATTCCTATGTAAATAGGCATAGTGTTATAAGGCTCAAAATAATTTTTTTTTTTAAAAAAAGATTGTCTTACTTCCTGAATCATCCCTGAAAAACAAAGTGCAGAAACACTCCTCCTCTTACATATATTCATTTAAAAATTGCAGAGAACAGAACTGGATTTAAATAAGTTGCAATAAAATTAGTAAATTCATTCATATGTACAGTATTTATGAGAACTGTATAACTTCAATGAAATGTGTATTGTTCAGAAGAAAGATGGAATATTGAAAATGTAATTTGGTGCATATATGATCTGTTTTAAAATACGGCTGTTGTAATTTTAAATTCTAGACTTCTTGGTGCCTATGACTTCAGGGTATCAGTGAATTTTGTATTGCTAGAACGAAAAGTACAGAGTTGAAACTAGAGACAGTAGTAGCCAGTACACCTGGTGAAAAAGTACAACATAAACATGTCCCTCCATGCTCAAATAGCTGTTATGAAATATTTCAGTTATCTAATGCTTTGGGGATTAATTCTCAATAGTAGGCCAACTGTGACATAAATGGTTCCATTTTAATTATGACTTGAGAGTTATGGACAAATGGAACCATAAGGAAGACTGTCAGCTTTGTCATATCTGTGTCAGTAATACTCTGAGTAAATCCATAAGTAGGACTCATTTTCTTCATTTTTGTATAATTATTTCATTATTGCAATATGGTATAATAATTACATTTCCAGGAGGATTATAGCATTCTTTGGGGTTTAGATAATTCACATCTTTCAGCCTCATGCCTTGGAAGTGGTATCAGACTTACTGTGATAGCTTAGGAAAAAAAACGGAGTAAAAATGAAATGAGAGGAGGCTCCTCTTGATGGTGGATGGACCCTTCAAAATCTAATTTCTGATCACAAGACAGTGTACAATTCCTGAAGAACCCCAGCAAAGAACCTATTTCAAAAAAATCTGACCACATCTTATAGAGATACTTTGTTTCACATGAATTTGTAAATAAAAGCAGTTTTTAAATTTGCCTGTAAGTCATATCAAAAACCAAAAAAGGTTCAGATACCTGCATGTGAATAAAGTGAAGTAAAAGTGGGAAGGTCTGAGGAAAAGTAGCCAAGTTGGTATCTTTCTTATCTTGTGATCATTCTTGGGAAAAGATGATGTAGTACAAAACAGAAGAGAAGAGACAGAAGGTAAATCACACAGTGAACAAGAGTAAAAGTGCAAGGAACAGATTGCCTTCCTACCTTTCGGAACTTTGCTAAGTGGAAATCAGTAGTAGATTTACAGCAGTTGAGTCTCACAATTGCTCTAACAAAATCTCCTGAGGCATGGTTAACTTAATCTGCAGCTCTGTGTATTCTTATTGGGAAGTGAATTTGATTACTTCTGAGTAGCCTTATAGAGAACCATATCCAGATATCAATATCTATTGAAGAAGTATTTCTCAGTAACAACAATTGGCCTGGTTTTTATTTAAATGGGGTTAGGTTAGAGATAAGATATACTGTATTATCCAATTAATAATTCTTTCATGAAGGCTCTTGTGATCCATTTTCGCAATAGAAGAGAACTTGGCAATA